CCACCGCCATGATGGTTGTCTGGGGGGGAAAGAAGTGAGAGGAGCCGCCCGAATGGGCCCAACGGGGAGGGTTCAGCCCCCCCCATCCCCTCGCCCGCCCCTAGAGTGCCCCGCTCCCCTATTGCCCCGCCTCCGAGACTCCCCAGCGCCCGCTCCCCTCACCCCGGTGCTCAGGGGCCGCCCGGCCCAGTCCGGGAACCGCTCCGCGGTCCCCGCAGTCGCCACCGCCATTGCCATAGTCACCCGGCTCGCGCGACACTGTCGCAAACTATCCCGCTTTACGGCCCATGCTCGGGAGGGATGGCGCAGCTGTTTTACGACAACTTTCGTCCCGCCCCCCGCGCTGTTTCACTTTACGGCAGCAGGAGGAATTTCTCCCGAGACGAACGATGCTTTATGGCAGTGTCTCTCGCCTCTCCGCGCTTTAGCAGCTTGTGATTTTACGGCAGTAAAAGCAGGGCGCTTTACGGCAGTGCGGTAAAATCGCGCTTAACAGGAGTCAGTTTTGCTTTACGGCGCCGTGGCTATATTTTTATGATGGTCCTATCCGGTACCGCTTCGTAGCGGCGAGATCTTTTGGCCTGCCGAAATTCAGCTGCTTTCACGTCATTCCGCACAACTGTGGCACTGTCACGCCCGTGACGTCACCGGGGAGCGGTATGACATTGTCGTGATGTCACCCCCAGCTCCGTGGCGCATGCGCCGCCCTGCCCCCGCCCATGTGCCTTGAGCCAGCGCCCCCACGGCGCAGGGTGGTCACGTCGGGCACTTCTCTTTTGGCCTGCCGAAATTCAGCTGCTTTCACGTCATTCCGCACAACTGTGGCACTGTCACGCCCGTGACGTCACCGGGGAGCGGTATGACATTGTCGTGATGTCACCCCCAGCTCCGTGGCGCATGCGCCGCCCTGCCCCCGCCCATGTGCCTTGAGCCAGCGCCCCCACGGCGCAGGGTGGTCACGTCGGGCACTTCGCTTGTGAACTGGGCTACTGGCAGCCCCACGCTGGGGTCCCGTCTAAGGCTCCAAACCAGTGTCAGGGCAGGGAGCCACACAAGCAGGTGCCCCAGGTGTCCTGCCCCGCCACCCCCACGCCGGAGAGAACGGGAAACCCACCTCAC